TTATTATCTTTTCTTTTATTGTTATTGTTCCTTATTGTCCTATTAAAGCTGTTTTAGTTTTCTTTTCCGAACCGTAAAGTCTCTCTCTCTTGTTCTTTCCTTTTCCCTTTTGGGAGGGGAGAGGGGTTAGTAGAGAGCGTCTGTCATTTGTTAGTGGCCAGCCCAGCCTCAAACCATGACAGAGTTTTATTCTACTCTTCCAAGTGTCAGAACGTGCCCAATACAAGGCTCCAGTTTCTTTCTGTAGTGCAAGAATTTAGCAGTGAAAGTTTCTATATGTTTATGGAAACACAGAGGCAGCCTTTAAAATACTTAGTAGTGCTTACATAAAGACATAGAAACATCTGAAAAAATGCTTATTTTTCTGTACATTATTTCAGCTCCAATTAATTTATGCTTTCTGCTGGGAAATAATATTGGTCATAAAAATGAAATGCTGGTTGGAAATCCTTAGGCTTCTGTAATGGAATATTTCATTCAGGATGAAATGTGAGAATTACGGGCTTGATTCTGCTGCTGCTGAAGCCAGTGGCTAAATGCCTAATTGCCTTCAATTGCAGCAGGAGCAGTCTTCTCTTGCTGAAGAATATATTCAACAGTCAATAATCCTTAATCTCTGATTTAAAGCACTTCCATTTGGTAAACTTTTAGTTCTGTTTCAAGCCTGGAGCTATTTGGCTGAAATTGCATTTGATAGACTTTCTGGAAGTCTGTTTTCTGAGTCTGCATAGGAGTCTGTTTCTGTATTCCGAAATAGAAAAGAATATATTTATTGCAGCCACATGTCTACATTGTTTGCCTATCATCTTTGAAAAAAAAAAAAAAAGGCGTATGTGACAAGTTGCTGTTTCTACAAAGTGGGCTCTATGCGGACCACATTCCCTTAGTGCGATCAGGTGTGTTTGAGAGACATGTAAAAGGCCCAAAATTCTTGGAAAATAATGTTTTGAGCATTTGAGGTATGTGTTTTGTTTGTTGTTGGGTTGGGTTTTTTCTTGTTTTAAAAGAGGCAACATGAATTATCAGCTCATAAAAATAGTGTGTTTCTTAGCTTGGATGCTGAGCTCTCAGAAGGTGTTAAAGGCATGCTATTTAACTTGGATACTGTGACATAAAAAGTGAAACTTGAATCTTTTTGGAGGTTCACCCATCTAAAATGTAATAAATTGGTCATAGGACCTTTTAGAAAATATGATAAAAAGAAGAGAGTATTATGGAAATTCAGACTTTTATCATCTACTTAGTTTTTGTCCAAGGTTTTTACTGCAACCTAGAGGAAACACATTTATTTTTCAGTAAAGAAGAGTTTTGAATTCTCATAAGAACGCCAGAAGTCAGACAGTTATAAGTAGAAGATTAAGTATCACAGGATTTGCAGTAAAATGAAAAAAAAAAAAGGGATGGGAATAGTGTATGTATCCAAAAGTGGTTTGCAAAACCCGAAGACCTTTACCTCAGAAAGTGCATATGTTTGGAACTAGATTTAAGTGCTGATTGTGAAATAGTTGTTCCTATTAATTTCCAGTCATAGTATTATGGTGTTAACACCAGGGCAGAATTTAGCTCCTAAAATTCAGATTGAAACCATAAGTGATAACTAAAAAATTATTGAGAAATTGGTAAATAATTGCAAGGTGTATTATTTCATAAAATATAATGTGGGCTAAGTCCTGATCTCTTTGCTGGAGCTTTATACAAGTAAATTGCTGTTGAAGTGAAGGCTCTTTTCCTTCCCTCCCTTCTGACCCCTCTGCTTTGCCTTTCTCTTTCACAGACTGCCTGAGGCCCAACACAAATCGTTGGGACTAGGTGTAGACTATCACCCATTTTCCACGGGATGTCTTCTTCCTCAGGCTCCACAAAGTGACCTATGGAGACTGTAAATCTGTGTGTAGAGGTGAACAAACTTGCTTCAAATAGGGAGCTGTTGTTTGACCTATCACCCAGCCCCCTAAAGACCTGGTAGAAAAAGTAACATAAAGTGCTGCTTTTGCTTTTCACAGAATCCCTGCAAGAGATCTATGTAAAGTCATGGAAGTACTAGTATCACATATCTATGAAAAGTGTCAGAAACAGGGCTGATGGAGTTACTAATGGAAAGCTTTTGCACAGCTCTAGTTCTAGCAGAGACCTGAGAGGTGGAGCAGAGGAAAAAAAAGTGAGAGTTGTCTTGCTCCACTCTCTATTCTTCTTGTAACCAAAGGCAGTATCAACATCTGTCCTCTGTGACAGATATTAATCTCCCATATAGTTTTCTTAGATCCCGTCCTTTCTTCCATAGAAACAAAACACTTTCGATATACGTAGAGATGGTAGCATCTCCGGGTGATGTTGAGGCTGAGATTCTTTTTTTGTGTTTATGTTAAACTTTAGTTCATACTTAAGGCAGCTATTTATGTATCAAATAACTAACTCTCAATCAAAAAATAGTCCCTGTTCTGTCTGCCCAAAGACCTGATGCCTTCCAATTCCTTGTTAACACCTGGTGTTTTAAGCCTTGTAAAGTTGACCTACTAGCTTGTGTTTTTAGAGAGAAACCTCTAAGACTTTTTCAAAGCTGTGGTTTCTGTACAATGCCTCTGCTTGGTGTGCTGGGAAGCACAATAATTGACATTTTTGACTTCTGTGATTTTTCCCTCTTTGCCTGTTGAAGATGTAACACTGTTTACCTGCTTGTTCTGTATCTGTCCCACAAGAACATTTGCCTCTCCTATATGAGTGTACTGAAGACTACTCTGTTCAGCAAAATTTAGTATATTGCCCCTTTGGATTAAAAAATAATTTCAGAAATGCAGAGGGTGGGGGTCTCACTTTTGTCATCAGCATCATGAGAAGCTTGAGATACCATCTCATGTTAGAAATTTATCTTGTCTGTCGTATCTCCTGGTAAGTGAGAGTGAACCAAATAGCTTCTCTGAGTCATCAGTAAATCAAAGCTCATGGGATTGACAGGGTTTCTTTCAATCAGTGGACCTCGAAGTTGTGCACCTTTCTAGGCAGCATTGTTGTTCTTCTTTATCCTCCTGTGCATGAGGAACTGTAATTATCATGTGGATAATGAATGTGTCAGACTGCAGTGTCTGGCAGTCTTCTGAAATTCAGTTGTTTGTTTTGACCTGTGAAAAAGCTGCCTTTCTTCTGTACTTTGTAACTGGAGCAAAAAGTAAAGCACAAGATGAAGTTGTTCTGGGCATAAAACTTTCTCCTTCATACATCTTTACCCTTCCACCATCCTCACTGTAGATGAATAAGACCCTTCAAGGCAATGGTGCCTGGCTTCATAGATCTTAGCTACTCTAAGGTGAGATCAGTGGACAGATGCTGTCTGTAACCCAGATAATTTGGATATGGTAATTACTGGTTCTCCTTTCAGTGCTATGCAGTTTCAAATATCTGTTCCTTTGATATCTCCAAATGTCTCACTTTCATCTTTATCCTCACGTTGATTAAAACTGGAGTCCTCATCTTGCCATATGAAATCAATACATGAAATAGATACGTGGTTGCAGCTATTGATCGGTGTCTTGTAAGCATCTTGGATGTGCTTTCAGAAGTAATGTAGAGGAAGAAGTAGCAATGTGTTTATGGAACACATCAGGAGCGTATGTCTTGTGGATAAAGTTGAGGAGAGGAAAGAGATAGTCATTGGAGAAGTGAATAAACAAGGTAAGCTGCACAGCAAATTACAATAATTAGTGACTGAGGACACTTAATAGGATAAGTGCAAAAAGGAGAGAAGTTACAGGTATGTGATATTGACAGCAATCTCAAAAGGTTTTATCTTCATGGAGCATGGGTCTGTGAAACACTGCAAAGGATGCAGAAGACTCAGAGCAATAGGACTGGCTAGTGGGAAGGAGCAGCATAAAGATAAAGATGAAAATTATTTCGTGAAAAATGTGGAGCAGGAGGGATGAAATTTGGAGAGAAACATTTTCAGCTAAGAAAAATTCATATTATCTTGCAATTTATTTCTGTTTATCCAGCTGTATCATGTTCTAGGCCAGAACTGTGTTTTCCTCTGTGTTTGGAAGGTGCCTTGCATCCTTTGTATGCTACAGAAACCAGTAGATACCATACACTAAGGCTATTATTACCTACATAATAAAAAGCTAAGTTTGAAGTAACAAGTTGGGTTTTTTATCTGTAAGGATTCTTCCACCAAAATCCAGGATTTCTGTACATGTGAAAAGTCCATGTGATTTTTTTCCTTAAGTTGACTAAATCTTTAGCAATGAAAGAGCATTTTTTTTTTGGTTTATGATTTAGTTGTCCAAGCCTTGCTGTAATGGTGAGTTACTTATCTTACAGTTGGTATTTGCAAACAGGAGATGGTCCAGAAGAAGAATAATGCTGTTTTGGTGGATGGGGTCATCCTAAATGGTCCAATAATGGACTCTAAAGCAGGAGAGAAGTTTGTGGAAGAGGCCTGTAGGATTATAATGGAAGAAGTCATCCAGAAAGCTGATGATGTAACAGAAAAGGTAAAGCCATAGAGTGTGATTGAGAATTTGTAACAGAGATAATGAACAGTAAATAATTTTTTTTTCTAAGATATATTTTGTTGTGCTTTAAGTAGCCTCAAAATTGCTTCTAGTCTTTACCTGGCTCTGAAATAAAAAGACAGCCTTACAAATGAAGAAAGATCATATTATAAAACCTTTCAATAACATAATTAGCATATATATTTGCCAGAAAGTAGTGAGGTTTTTTCTTCTCAGAGTACAATGGTCACTTTCTTTGAGATGACAAATCTGAGTAATGTTATTCTTGTTTGGGGTGGAGGGCGTTACTTGTTTGCTCCTCAGGGGCACTGTTATTGGAGAAGGAGGAACAGTGGATGTGGTACGACTGTGAAGGGGCAACATTATGACATTGCTATGGGTTTCTGCAGAATCCCTGCTTAAGAGGCTGTATGGGAAGAGGAGCTGCAAATGAATCATGATTGCCTTTGGGCATGCACTGGTTGCTCCCACGCCTTGGCAGAACAGCATCTGAAAATGCTGTGATTACAAATCCTTAGCTAAGGACAGAATTTGACCTCAGGCCTCTTGCTTTTCTGCCTTCCAGCATTCCTCAATGTAATTTTTATGGTCAGGCAATGCCTGAGACACGATAAAACCAACATCCCATGAGACCAGTTTACCGGAGATATTTTCTGGTGGCGTGCTGCCCTGCAATGGGCAGTTTTGTGAAACCAGCGGTGAATGTGGTGCTTACTTTGTACCTTTGTAACTGCTTCCTCTTGGCTAACCTGTTCGCTGCTGATGTCTCCCCCTCTCCCCATCACTAGGTTTGTGAATGGCGAGCCCCTGAGACACTGAAGCAGATTCTTGACCTGGAAATGAAGGACACCGGAGAATCTCATCAGAAACTCTTGCAGCTCTGCCGGGATGTTATACAATACAGTGTCAAAACCAGTAGGAATGTGATTTCTAGTGAAGTTATTTTGTATCCTAACTTAGGAAGACAGGATAATGTTTACAAAGTCCTGTCACCTTTCAGGAAACTGGGGGTGTGAATGTTTGTTTTCTGCCTGCCTATAAAAGTATGCAAACATTTGGCCATGTTTCCATTGTTTGACTGAATGCTGGTCACCATGGGTTTGACAAAAATCTGTAATCATGGCAAACTAATAGAAAACCAATTCCTGTAATGCCATTGACATTAATGGTAGATTCTGTCATTTCTGAGTCTTGTTAAAGTCACCTAGACAGGTATGATGTAACAGTCTAGCAAACAGGCAGGAGAAGGACCTTTGTGTGTGATTTCCTGCTGTCTGAGTGATGAGGAGTGGAGTCACCATCATTGCCCTCATACATTCTTACCCTAGTCTACTATTGTTCTTTCTGAGCAATAGTCTTATAGGGTGTTAATTTGCTGATAGGCAGTAATTCCTGTTCCAGACACGGTGAGAAGAGAGCCTGCAGTTTTTCAGAGACAGTACACCACATCTCTGCAGGATTAGTTCTCTATGGCTAACCTTTCTGCAGCATGTGTAGTATAATTCAATCTTTGTGAAAAGGGGTGAACAACACCTACTCAGGAAATAGCTCTGTGGATCAGTAGCTCAGGATTTCAGATGTGGTATAACTTAGGTTGGGTTTTGGAAAGCGAGAAGAACATTTGATATAGTTAGTTGTGTGTTTCCAGGGCATGTTCCCTGCTGCAGTCACTGTTGCTATAAAATAAAACCATAAAATAATTTTGAGAGTGAATGCATGCCCTTGAAAACCATAGAAAAATAGCAATACAGTTCTGCAGGGGGAGTGCACTAGTAATATGCAGATGTAATTACTGAGTTACTGGAAGGTGTTCTGTTTATCTTACTTTTGCAAATTGCCTTTAGATTTTCATTTGTTACAGTATGTCACCTTAGAAAGGATATTGTATGTAGGAATATGCTGTGCAAATAGTCTTTAAGTATAAACATTTATTGAAGCCCCAGATATAATATAAATGGAGCCATACAGTTCACCTGGTTTTGCATGTAAAAGTACTATGCTGGGAATTAAAATTTAGGGTGGTGATCTCACTGCTGAACTGACTTGGGTTTATAATAAGCAATAGTATAGAATTTTCTCATAATTAGTTATATCTTAGTGTAAACAAGTTCTCTTGTAATTTTAAGTCTGCAGCAAGTTTTTCCAAGCTGTTACACTCACC